GAGGGAGGGGGGGACACTGTGGACAGTCCTCCAGTCCAGTCCATCACATGAAGACTATTACATTAAAACACACACGGTCACCACCGGGGGACGAGCCGGTGATCGTAGCACCGACCACTCTGCCACGGTTTACCCCGTCAGGTGATCGTGGTTCCGGTTCAGGCGGTTGAACGTCTACAGTCACACAAACTGATCTCAGATCTGACGCGTTGCGTCTTTAATAGATTCATTATTTTCAGTTCTCACAGAAACTAGAAGTGAAACCTGTGTGAGCAGCAGGCTGGTTTTTCCCCCCGTCAACAAGTTATTCCCCGTTGTTGCCCCCCTCCCTTACCCCCTTCTTCAGGTCCTGGTTTTGTTTTGGGAAGCGGCGCTGTGACGCCCTCTCCGCCTGATGACATCACACACACTCAGAGTCGGACCGAAGAGCGCACACAGGAACTAGTTAGTGGGAGCTGAGAGCACAGCACACACACACACACACACATCTACAGGTCGAGAGCAGCTGGAGCTGCTGGGGATTTTTCACCTGAACATTCCTTGGATCCACGGCCACAGAGTTCTCACCGCCGCCCGCCTCACAGGGACACACGGAGGGGGACACTTGAGACCTGAACCTGTCCCTGCCTCGCACTGCAACCTCACAAGTTTTTATTTTTATTTATTTTTTTACATTTTGAGTTCTTGTTATTTTTCAAACAGGAGCTCGTCTGAAGCTTTTGTTTTAAAACCTCGGTCGCGGAGAGACAGGCAGCGGCTCCAGCCGGAAGACTGTGGTCAATCATGGCGAGACACGTCGGACATGACAGTCGAAATTGGCCCGAGGACTTCACTAAAATGATCGGACTTCTGTGTTTGGTGGCAGCGATTCTCGGGGAACACGGTAAGAACAGCGACACACTTCAGCCCCGTCTACAAGTGAGCGTTCGATTCCCGTTTCACCTCCTCGTTTCTTCACCTTCTCCGGGCTTCGATGAATAAAATAATAAATGATCGAGTGAGTGGTTTGACACCGTGTTAGCACCTGTCACCGCCCCGACAGGTGCTAACGAACACTCACCGTTTTCACTTGTTTTTTTACTCTAAAAAGTACATTTAGTGGGAGTTCACAGACAGGAGTTGGTTTTTGTTTCATTTGGCTCCGACTCGCGGTCTCGGTCTTTTCAGTCACACTGTTGTTATCGCTGTTTTACTGGAGTTTCGGTCGGTGACTCAGTCTGTAACTGAGCTAAGGTGTGGCTCTGCTCTGGAGCTAGCTGCTGTCCTCAGGTGTTGTTCCACAAACACACACACACACACACACGAACAGAGTCCACGCAGCTTCGTGCTTCCTTTTCCACTTTCTTCTCCTCCTCCACTCCATTTTTTCTGCTCTCTTTCTCTCGCTGTCCTCACATCATCCTCCATTAGTTCCACTCCACTTGACCAACCCGGGTCTGGACAGTCTTTGTGTTGTCCCACAGCTGACGTCACGTGCTCTTCTTGTTTCGTACTTTGTATTTATTCAAATGCAGTGATGATGTAAACCTGTGGAAGGGTGAGTCAAAAAGTTCGAAGACAGACCGGGGTTCAGGTCGACACCTGACGTGGTGATAGAAGAAGAAACAGAAACATTTAGAAGCTTCGTCATCAGTTCAATTAAAGTGAAAAAATAAAGTCCAGAAACTGTGACAAAATGATTCCAGTCATTTTTATATATTAACAAGACGTGAATGAATCACGATTTGATTGATAATTTTTCTAGAAACCCAGACCAATAAACTCTGCCTTATCAGGCGTTCTCTTTGTAACTGGTTCAACCAGGTGAATTATTCAGGAGTGAACTGGTCCATGTGGGGTCAGCTTTCATGACAGGGATCACGCTTGACGTTTGTTAGTAGTTGGTTGTTAAGGTAGTTAAGGTTAGGGTTAGTGATCTGCAACACTCTGAGTATAAACAGATACTGATCATGTGGCTTGGTGAAGTAGGGACCAGGACTAAAGAAAGAACATTTCTGGTCCTCGTCTTGGTTTCATCAAGTCAAGGATTTTTTGTAACCACAGAAACATTTAGGGAAAAACAAATGGTTAAAAAGCCTGAACCAAAAACCAGTAAAAGTCCTGTGACGATGAGCGTCAGCAACAACGTGACGTTCACCACTTCCTCCTGTGATATTTATTTATTTATTTATTTATTTCTCAAAATAAAAATGTCACTTTCACTTTGCATGTTCCAGACAGGAGGAACCAAAACCTTTTAGACAGAGTTCTGAGATGACAGGGCCGTCAGTCGGGTGTTTACTTTTGGATCAAGGACACTTCCCCACTGTATCTGGAAGTTTTTATTTATTTTGGGTTTTTTTTTCTGTCCCTCTGGATCCATATCCTGGACCTCAGAGAGTGTGGTCCGTCTCTTCATGGTATGTGAGGAGATTGAAAGTGAGTGAAGTGACTTGTTCAGTGTAGACGGTGAGAGTAATGAGGAGGTTTGAGGAGAAACCCATTCGTCTGGCAGCGTCAGCTCTAAAGACTGTTATTTGGAGATTCTTTGGATTTTACCATTTGAAGTGAACCAGATCGTTGGGGAAACAAGTGAAACGTTGTGTAATTTAAATCTTTCTGTTATTTGTTATTTTTGACTACAAACAAACCTCACGGTGTGTGTTTACGTTTACGTCCGTGCTTTTGTTCTTCTGTTCAACAATCTTCACTGAGAATAAATGCTGACAAAGACGTGACTGAAATAAATCAATAAATCCCATCATGACAGCGTTACATGACACTGAATCAAACCTTGACGTCTCCTTCAGTTGTATCGACGTGTGAAGGTTAAAGATCACAGTGGATTTATTTAGCTAAACATCTGATTTAGGTTATTAGTATCACTAGTATTACTAGTATCACTAGTATTATGTTGATCATAAAGATTGGCTTTTGGAGGTCTGCATTGACTCATTGACAAGAACGACACGACGATAGAAGACAGGATACAGGAGTAACACAAGAACGTCACGATAGAAGACAGGATACAGGAGTAACAGAACGATACATTGTGATATTGTTTCTCTGCAGAACTCGTGTGTTTCATTGAAAACCAGGTCAGTGGGAAAACCTGAAACTGACAAAAACACGTCTGGTGCTCACACTTAACCTATTAACATATGAATGTGTGGCATGAAACCATTGCAACATTTCCTCCTCGGCCTCCGTGGTAGGACATCATTTGTTTTGTGTTGTAATTGGGGCAGGAATGTGGGCCTTGAACCAACACTGCGGAGCAGCTACGCTAAGACGAGCCGACACAGTCCGACCGTCGGGTGTTTCGTCATGACTCAGGAGGACGTTCACTCCTTTGACTGTTTTCATTGGACAACACAAGGAATTGTTTTGAGGAAGTGTGGGGGAGGAGGGGGGGGTAAAACAAACGATTGTACATACCAGTGACGTTCCTCTGTTCTCCTTTGTTGGAGTGAAACTTTTCTCTTTGTTACTTTTGTATTTTCAAACGCTCCAGGAGCGTCAGCTGTGAACAAAGTTATTTAACACTTTATAAAGTTTATATAAAGTTGAGAACGGAACTGGTTCAACGTCAAAACATTTCTCAGATTGATATGGACTTTAATTACACTGAGTCTCAGTGGGCGGACCTGTACCCTGATAAGAGGTGGGGGGGGGGGCAGCAGGGTCTGCACAAAGCTTTTGTGTTTACATTACATTACCAACCCCCCACCCAGAAGTTGAGATTGCAGGAGTCCATGTATGGCCCATTACCATGGTAATGTTTTTATTGGAGGGAGGGTGGGCTTATG